CAGGCTGAGATTCTCGTGCAGGGCCATTTCCTTGACGACCATGTCGATGCTTGAACTTTAACCTGTTCAGAGGAAGATGCCATTGATTAGTTGAAAGTGTGTGGATGGTGTGGACTACACCACTTCCGCTTCCACTTCCGTCACAATTTGCAACGCCTAAACGAAAGCTTGTGTTGTTGTGGTTGTGTAATTCATGTTGTAACTCAATATGCATCTGCAGGTTGCAGGTTGCAGTTGCACGTTATTATCAATCCCAGCAACGGCCACTTCAGTGGTTTCCTTCAACCCTCGCGACGCGGGCTGATCAAATCGTGCATGCACACGTTCCTTGCGGTCAAGATAAAGGGTTGTAAATGATATTTAATGCTAATATGTGTGCATAATTAAATAATTTAGCCCTCCAGAAAAGTTCTAGTTGAGTAAGTTTCTCGAATTTCCCTCCTACATATTGCATTTAGAGGGGAAATTTTTCAGCATGAGCACGAATTTACAATATCAAAACCAATAACCGGAATAAAATTCTTAGCAATGGAATTAATGTCTGAGTCAATACGTTACTTCCACTTGAGCTATGCAAAATAATTTCTTATAATTGTTCCCTCCAACTATTTCTTTTAAGCATTTTCTCTAAGTATTTCTTCAAAGTGTTTCTTCAAAGTATTTCCTCTAAGTTTTTCTTTGAAGTATTTCTTCGAAAGATTTTCTCTAAGTATTTCCCGTGTTTCCTCTAAGCTTTTCATCCAGGTCTTTCCTGTAAGTATTTCTTCCAAGTATTTCTTCTAAGTATTTCTTCAAAGTATTTCCTCTAAGCATTTTGTCTAAGCCTTTAATGCTTGGCTGAACGATCACACACTTCACCCCAACCGGACCTGGCCTACTGAAGAAATGCTACAGCTGTTGCCCTTTATATAGGGCAACTTTCACTCAAATTTTAGGTCGCGCTCAAATGTTGAGAGCGGCTTACTTCAATATAAATACCAAATGCATACTGCTGCATACATATAGACCAATAAATGGTTTGTAGCTCTTCTTCGTTCCAAAGAGACAAACCTAGAGAGAGACTGTGGGCAACATACGAACAGATATATAGGCAAAAAATTACGAATAGTTAAGTCGGGATACCTTATTATGCTGCTTAAGAATATATGTGCTTGAAATGGCATAATGCTGATATGCTAAATAGCTTATGTACAGTAATATTCATAATTATTAGAAGGCATAGGACTTGGACCACTGCATAGTCTTCCCTAATTTCTGGCTATTCCATCAGATACTAACTTTCAATGGTTTCAATTCATACAAACAGACGCACAGTTACGGACATGACACTAAACTCTTAGGAAATAATATTCATTGTTTAAGAATTGATTTAAAATAATTTTTCTTTAATTAATTTTCTTAAATGCAAATTTCTAGCCGCATCTGAATATTTCATTAATTTATATAACAACAATATTACAAATAATCATTCAGATTTATATAAATAGATGACTTTTGGCTTTTATAAAATATTCTGAATGAGATCAGTAAACAATATTTGCTTGGTTTAACCAATTGTTAATTATACGGAACCATTTTATAATTGCGAATTAGCATGCAGTTAAATTATATGGATTTGTGTGTAGAATAATGGGAAATCCATAAATAAAAGTTATTCCCACTTTAAGTGAATTCTTCTTTGAGTGTGCATTTACGCAAAACTCGCTCAAGTGCTATGACGTACGGCCGTACGGAGCCGCATAGTTTGTCGGATGAGGCACGGGCTGAAAACTTGAATTTTACAAGCGAACTGCGAATCATTGTGCTTATGACAAACACAAGTCGAGTTTAACAACTATTCGTCGAACAGTTTATTATATGCATGAAAAACGTTGAAATTAGTTATTGTACTTTTTACTTATTTCAGTTTGTAAATCATGTTTTTGTACAGCTATTTATATATGAAAGAATAGCTTTGTAACACTTACACTTGTCGAAAATCGAAGTTTTAAGTTTAGTTTGCTATATACATAATATGTATTACATATATTATACTCTGAAATCACTTAATACGAATGAAAATAATATTTGTTAACATACTCATAACTAATATTTATATAGAAAATCATGAGAATATATATTATCATAGATTTTAATTGTATATATAAAAGAAATACTTCGTAGCTATTTAATTAGCCCCACTGTCTCAAGCTTACTTTGTGATTATTTCCAATATATATGTACATGTTGATACTTATATAGAAACTGATGACATTATATACTATCACAGATTTTAGTTGCTCATTATCATTATGATTAATTGTACCATTTGCCTATCTGTCAAGTCGAGTCAACACAAGTCTTGCTGGTACAGTGAAGTACCCTGTGACAACATAACTGGAAACATCTCCGACGATAATCGGCTACACATATATACACATATATGTATGCGTGTTTGTCTACATCTGTTTAAAGTTTAAACCCACTTCACCCATTTGCATATGTGTGACCGAATGCCGGCTAATTGAGTTATGACATTAATTTGATCTGCTGTCCGCTGCAAATTGTCACAATTAAACACGGGTCGTTCTGCCGGCGACGCCGACGCCGACACTCTGACCTTCGTTAAAAAACATAGGCGAACAAAATAACAACATAAACTGAGATGATACAACGCCTCCGCATGGTGCGTCTCATATGTCTGCGCTCTCCCTCCCATTGGGGGGTCCGTGGTCCCATTGCGAGAGTTCAAATTTATCGCAATATTTTATTGATCAAATACGCAAGCCCAATGATGAATATAATGATCATTATGCTGCTATAATTAATAGAGGAACATGCAGTGCTAAGCGACTATATTTAGGCAAGTTCATCAAATTCATAAATCAAATTTATAAGTATCTGTTGAGGTAATGTCCAATATATTTACTTCAAATTGAGAAAGTATTTGTTTTTTCAATTAATTAATTTGTGCTAAATCATATTGATTTCTCTTCAAATTAGCTGTCCATCCCTCGAGTAGCCACTGTACTTGTGTTTGTCTGTTAGTCTGTATGATTAAAACATCAAAATATATGTGTTTACATCGTTGTCTGTGCCACACACGAGACTATTAAATATGAATTTATTGCACGTTGACCTATGGTTATGATCATAATGATATTTGTATATGTATGTCTGTATAAGTGTGTTTATATATATGTATATGTGTGTGGGTGAATACAAATGAAGAAGTGATCTGCGGCTGGCCAGTTCAATTTGCACTTGAGCACTAATTAAATTTCGGCAGCTGAGTGAATTACAAAAATTGCAAAGTTAAATAGAATTTTCTTTTTATTTATATACATACGTGTATATTTGAACATATATTTAAGCTAACACATGTTTATAAGCTTTTTACGAGTTCAATCTATGAATGGTTATAAAAATAATTAAATGATTGCTCAGCGGTAGGAAAAATTGAGTAAATTGTTTATGGATCCTGTCTGAGTATGGCAAACAAAAAATACCCACACACATACATATACATGAATATGCAAGATACACATACATACATATGTATATTTACGCCTGCATTTGTAGATATCAAGTGTCTGGAAGCTATAAAGCCGGCATCCAGCCAAATGGTGTTTATCTCAAACAGATGCAAAATTCAAATTGATGCTGGGGGATGTGTGCGAAAACATGAACAAGTTGAATGGATATTATATAGAAAATAAACAAATTAGAAATGAGCACAAATAAAAATGAAATTAAATGAAGTGTTGATAAGTTCACGGTTTCAGCATTGTGTTTATACAAATATGCCTATACACATACTTACGTACATATATGTACATACATACGTTTGTAAATACACTGACACAATTCAGACATACATACATACATACTACATGGATCACATCTTGGAAACGACAAGCATATTATTCATTACAAATTCAAATAATAATTAGAATTATCGGAGCAATAAAAGACATAGTCATATACTGTGACAAATTTGTATTTTACCTTTTCTTTGATTAGCTGCGTCGCTTCCTACTACAGTTCTTTTTGCAATTTCGACTATTCTCCTGGTTTACTGTTATATGCAGTTTGCGTTTCGGTTGCGTTCAGCTGCAATTGTTCAAGGCACTAAGCACTAACACACACACACCCACACGCAGTAGTGAGAATACACTTACAGTGACATTCGCTGTCGGGCAGGAGACAGTGATGGTCACTAATACAATTACGAATTTAAATTCGCCTAGATTTTTAGCGGTCACGGTAACACTTTCAGAGGCGCACGTTTTTTAATAGAATAAAAGTAAACAAATCTAATTTTCAGCAGAAATAAATTTGCTTTCTACGCTGATGTTTGGTTTAGTTTATATACATAAATGCAATTTATTCAAATATCACACCAGCCAGCGTGAGAGGCAGCACAACCGTTACGCGTAACGGCCGACCAGTGACTAAAAGCGCAACAGCAAGAGCGACAACATAATTGTATCCAGCGTACGTTCAGATCAAAATCGAGAGAGGGAGAGTGATAGTGAGAGTAACAGTTCTGACCGATGAGTGGGTGAATTAGGAACAACGAAAAAGTAAGCAGTCGCGCACTTATGTAAATTATCATTGTATTGAACTTCCTAATGTGGTGAGAAACTGTTTTACAGCGAACCAGTAATGAAATATAGTATATATAATGTGTTTCGCTGTATTTGTAATTTTATAACTTGAATAATAACAATGAATGGAAACGTTGTTTTTCAAAAATACATATGTATTCATTTTAAATATATATAATATACAAAAAAGATAAATATATAATATACCTAGAATTTTATTAATAATCTTTAGAATGTTTGTGTTGTTAAATAAACTAAACATAATTTAATTTTTTTTAAAGCAATGAATCTATTATTAGCAGCCATTTAATATAAACAGTTTAATAAGCACATAATTCAAACTGATAACGGCTGGACGTATTAGCTTATCGAATTCAGCTATCGATATAAAATATTGATATGTAAATATGTTGCGATAGTAACAATTGCCATCTCTAATCATATTTGTTATTGTTTTTAATTTTCTATACAAGCAAGTTAAAAAATGCATTTAAGCGTTGTCTACGTCACTGTTGGTACCACAAAATTCGATGGACTCATTAATGTTGTGACATCTGCACCGGTTTTGTGTGCATTACAAAAGCTAAAGTGCCAGAAACTTGTGCTGCAGCACGGCAACTCTACGCCGGTGGAAGATTCTGAACTTCAGCTCATCCATGAGAAGTACGGCATTCAAGTGGATCAATATAAATTTCGACCTAATACAGAGGATATTCAAGCTGCTGATGTGATCATTGGGCATGCGGGTGCCGGTACGTGCATGGATATATTAAATAACGGCAAGGCTGGATTAATCGTGGTCAATGACGAGCTGATGGACAACCATCAGTTGGAATTGGCCCGTCAATTGGCTTCCGAGCAGTATTTATACTACTGCAAGGTGAACGAGGTTAGCACAAAGCTTGCCTCACTGGACTTTGAAGCTCTGAGGCCCTACGAGCCAGGCACAGAGAATATGCGAAAATTTATAGAAGCTTTAAATGAATTGATGAGCCATTAATATTCAAACTTTTTTTTCTTTTTGGCGCTGACGCCTGGAGCGTGCGCTTTGGATATATATATGTATATATTTTATTATATTTATGAGTAAACACGATAAACGACTATGAAGAACGTTAGACAATATTATTGGGCTATACGTTACATAAATTCACGATTATTAAATATTAATAGAACAATTACTAAGCAAATTTCTTTTAAATTCCATTAAACTTGTATATTGTATGTACCTATATAAATTGAATATACGATGAGACTCTCGACAAGCTTTGGTTGCTGTTGTTTACGTGTTGTCGACCGTCTATTCGGTCTCAGTGACTGCGCCCCCATTTTCAATGATGGTATCAAAGGAGAACGGCTGGAAAGCGTAGCCGTGACCCATGTAGAATTTGCTCTGGAATTCCACCCTGCGAAAAGGAAGCAATTTTTAGTTTATATTAAATGTATTGAGTCGTAGCCATACCAGTGAAGACGCAACGTGTGCAAGAATGCGGAAAGACCCTCCATCAAAACCAGAATGCCAACGGTCAATACAGCCCAGAATGCAAAGACCACGGTCAAAAAGATGCCGCCAAGCCAACCTTCCTTATTTAAACCTAAAGACAATACCATGCTCCACAAGACCTCAGCAAGCTCTGTCAATAAGGGAAAGCTCATTAGGATTCATTAAGATTCCTCATTGTCGAAGTAATCAAGTTGACTTACGGGCATGTGCCAAGGAGAGCGCCCACAATCGTAAATAGGATGCAGTGTGGGAAACGGAACCCAGAACATACTCGATCGTATGAATGCCCTGGTGAATGAATATTTCCGACATCTCTTCCTCGTCGTGGTGTTCGCCGCCGCCGCCATGTGAACCGCCGCCATTCGACATGCCACCGACTTCAGCATCAGATGCGCCAGTTATGGGCTGCACCTGTTTTAATGTAACAATGGATTTATTAGCGAGACGTTCGAGAAGTAAATTTATATTTTGAATATGCAATACAACAAGCGACTCAACTAACCTCTTCCTGTTGCATTTGGATTGGTTGGTGTTTAGTTTTTTCGTTTGTTGAGTGTTATTTTTTGTTGGGTGTGGTTTGTTAGTTTGGGGGTAAACACAAGGGTAAGGCATAAATAAACAGAAGTGCAAACACAAGAATTATCTGTTAATGTATGCGTATGGACCCAGACTTAAAATAGTCGATGATGTGATGTGGATGGAATGGTGAAGGATTTGCAACAATGACACGAAGCACTTGACATAAATCGAATGCGGCGGAATGTGTACTTACGTTAGCCAGTTTACGCGCTTGCATAATCTTAATCGGCTTGCCCAGCAGCATGACCGGAATGCAAGCGAGTGCAATTAGAACAAAGATGGTCTGGAAAAACGATTGACCGGCGAACATATAAATATTGCAGTCTTTGCCTGGGGCCTTGGAATTCTTAAACAGAACCATATCAATGAATGTAATCAGAATGGATGGGGCGCAAGCCTCGGTCATGGGAACTACAATGGGAATAACAAGAATTAATTACTTTTGGAAAATTATAGAAATGGTATAAACATACACTCATTTGTGGCTGCATAGCGATTCCATTTAATGAACATCAACAGCACCAGGTAGAAGAAGAGGACCACCAGGAACAAAAGTTGTGGGATGAACTCGTAGAGCAGCGAAAGGCGATTCCGGAAATATGTATGATTGTGCCAGCTCATGATGACGCCAAAGATCATGTGCAGCACCCCGAATATTATGGATATCTTCATCTTATAGGCATTTTGAAAGACGATCTTATTGGACGAGGCCACCTGCCAAATGGGATCCATTCCGAATGGATACGGTGTGCCCTCATAATCGCTGGTCGCCGGACTCAATTGTAAATAGTTATTATTCCAAACAGTTGACTTGTTGTACGAAAGATGCCAATGCGAGCCGAATATGTTGAGTGACTTCGAGAATATATCGTTGTAGATTAGACCGGTGTACATGGAAAAGACGCCCATGAGGAATATGATATAGCGACCACCAAAGAAGATGTTCCAAATCTCATTGTCCGTTTTCTGGGCAGCCAATCCCTTCTCCTTGCGTATCATCCAGAGTCCGAACAGCGCCATTATCGCTCCATGTCCCAAATCGCCAAACATGACAGCGAACAGAAATGGGAACGTTATTATAGTATAGGGTGCTGGATTCATCTCCCGATAGCTAGCGACGCCGTATGCATCGATTAGTGCTTGAAATGCTTTGGTAAACTTGTTGGTGCGATTATATGTGGGAGGATTCTCAAAAGTTTGCATGCGATTCAGAATTGGCGGCACAGATGAGCCCGAGCGCTCAGTGCCGCGTCGCAGCGCCAGCTGGATGGTCTCGATGTCCAACAGCGGTACCCAGCACTCAGCGATGAGACACTTTTGGGTCACATCCAGATTGAAGAGATTCAGCGTATGATAGATGGCCTTGATTTTGCGCACCTTGACGAACCAGTTCTTCAAGTTTTTGGCAGCTGCGACCAAGACACGATGACGATGATCCTGCGTTTGGCCAAGCACCGTGTTTAGATCCTCGATGCGTGTCATGACGCCCATGGCCATTTCGCGACGGTCTGCTGGCGCTTCCGGGCACGGATAGAGCGTGGCCCGGAAACCCTCGCAAATCTTCTTTACGCGAGTTTTCAGCTGATCACCTTGGAAGAATATGATGAACACCGACTTGTACACCTGATCGCCCTGAAACATGCATTGAAAACCATCAAATTCAGCTGAACTAATTCAATTAGATTCACAACTCACATTTGTGGGATCCTCCAGCGGCGACTCAATCATGGCCTGACGAAGAAACACATTGCCTCGACAGGCACGCCACAGCATCCGCTCGAATGCCGGCAGCTTCTCCCGTGAAATGACGCCGGCCACAAAGCTAAGATAGATTAAAGATTAATGCGAGGCGATCAATTAAGTGTTAAGTCGCTCTGCTTATTCATTCCGGTTAGTTACGGCAACAAGGAAAACTAAACTCTCAAGCACAAATACCAATGAACGCAGCATGGAATGGAACGTGGCGACAATTAAAAGTATTAACAAGGAACACAAGTTTGATTTTTGTTTTCTTTTTTGTTTTTTAAGGGGCGTATGCGGCGAGCTAAGCTAATGACCACTGGGCGATATGTCTCTATATACAGTATTTTTATTTTGATTTTTTTGTTTTTTTATATATGAGCATGAACATTCCTAGTCTAAATTTGGAATTGTGGGATACCAACCATGGCAGATAATCCTCACGTTCAATCGATTTTTCCATAAAACTATATAATTGTTAATTTGTGTTCTCGATGTGTATTTGAACATGGGAAGAGAGGAGCAGAAGAGAGAATGGTGTTTGATTTAGTTTTAGATTTTCTTTTCAACTTTGTATTTTGATTTAGATATTCTTTTTTTTTGCACATAAAATTATTGCTTCGAAAGAGGTTAGAGAGCGTGAAAGACGTAAATCCAACATCGATATTCTTAGAGCATTTGATCATTTGTTGTTGTTGTTTGATTTGATGGCACATTGGATGTAGTTTCAGTATGGCTTAAGCACAGCAGCGTCTTTGGTTGGTTGGTCGTTTGGTTAGTGGATAGCGTTAAGCAATAATTTTTTGTTGCATATAGTAAAATTAACGTAATTAATTCGGCATTAGCCAAATGTACGTACACGCCTGCTGTGTTCGATACATACCCAAGCTGTACGGGACCCATGGATGCACCGGCGGTGCGCACCTCATCGGTGATGAGGGCCCGTGTCATCGACTCGGTGGTGTGGTTCAGGCCGCCCTCCTGCTAAAAATTGTGTTAAAAGTTTGCTTTGGTTTTTCAATTGCATTTTAACGGCTATTTGGTATATAATAGATATTTATATACGCCTTGTTTATGCAGTTAGTATCATTGTCGAGTTAATTGAAGCTTTCCGCCGCCAAGTCTTTGTGGTTTAATTGGGATATATATAATGCGTATGTTTTGGGTGGGGTGGAGCGGGAGAGTTAAAGCCAACACCAGAGCAACCATTGATCTTAGCCTAAGACACATACAAACATACATAAACAACCACATTTACTTATTATGATAATCAAAAATAAAGTCCTCCTATCCAGAGCCTAACATACAGACAGACAAGAGACAGCAGCACAAACAGTTATAGTTTAATCTATATATAGTACATATGTATATATGTATGTATAACTTTATACAGAGATAACGACACGCAAAGTAGCCATGGAGAATGAGAGCGAGCGAGCGAGTCGGGTTTGGTTTTGTTTTCAATTCGCATAGATATTGTGTTCAGTTTGGTAAATGCGCAGGCTGATTCTGAGTTTAGTTTTCCATTGGATCTGGTCTTGTTTTGATCTTTGTTTTGGTTTTGTTTTGTTTTTGTTGCTGAGTGGATCGACTAATTCATTGAGGTTGCAATATTTACCCAAGCTTTAAATTTTGGCCCGGCTGATTGGCGCGCACGCCCTCCTCGCCCAACAGCTGCGCTTGCTCATCCTCGTTCTGGTTGTCAGCCATCTGCAGATAGCGTCGATATTTGTTTGATGAATATGTCGACGTGGATTTGTAAACCATCGGCACCGACTGGCAACACAACCGGGCGGAAATAACGTGTTGTTGTTGGGGTGGTGTGGTGGTGTTTGTGTTGGTTGTATATATGGGGTGTTGGTATTTTGGGTGGTGCATTGCATTGCATTTGCAGGGTTCGGGTATTTGGTTCGTTTTGTATTTTGGATATTTTGAATTGTTTTGATTGGTATATGGAAAATAAAACGTAAAAACAAATCATAAAATAAACAACAAAATATATAAATAACAATTAAAGCTAATCATATTGATATGTACAAAAATACATACATACTTTAAAAAAACATGTGCACAAAATATCAAAAAATCAAAGTAATTAAAACATAACTCAAGCATGCGCGAAGAAGAAATATAATAAATCAGTTAAGGGGAACTAAAATTAAACTAAAACTAATCTGAAATATACAAGAACTAACGATTGTATTTACAGAGTCATATGCATATGTTTGTATACATACATAGAGAGCTGAATACTTAGTATAGGGGCTTGGACGTGTTGGCAATGGTAGTGCTGCATGTATCAAATGTTTTTCTGGTGTATTGCGGATTCTATTAAATTATAAGAAATTGCTTTTGAAA